CAGCATTTATAGAAGCTACCAGCAGGGGTCACCATAAGCACGTCCAATCAACCAGTCAACAACAACGTGGGCCGCAACACCCCAAACCATCCCACCCCAGTTATACAATACGGTAGCGACAGCCTCTGTCCAGCCAAAGGGTCCAACAGCAATTGTGACCAGTCCACTGCTGGTACCACAAGCTCCCCACCCACGGGGGTATTCACTACGGAGGCCTTGTCAGTCGCTCCCCTCTGGGGTATACAGATAAGCTTGTGCTCACGAGGGCTGGGAGGGAAGTGGGAGCTGCCCCAGGCTTTTCATTGTAAAGTCCCCAGATCAGGTGCAGGGGCCTCACCGCGGCATCTGTGGCTACGCATGTCCCCTCCAGAAACCCTGCTTCAGAAAATGACATGGGATTCAGGAGGCCGTGGGACATTGTAAGGTGAGCAGAGGGGCTGAAACCTCAAAACTCTAATCTCTAAAGGGGTTTTCTCCCCAGGGACTCCCCTCCCCATTGTTTCAACAGCCCCCTTCTAGAAACCGCTGAAGCCTTCGGGCTCATCTGTCTTCTTCGCCTCATCCCTGAAGCCTCCAGCTGTCTTCCTCTCTCACGCAGGTCGCCCAGTCACCTCACATCCCCCAGTAATTCAGCATTTTAGCAGCCAAGGTGTGATCAGTCCTCTACTGCCCGCGGCCACACGTAGCTTTGTGAGGGGAGGCCTCGGCAGTGACGCCCTCCCCTTTTTTGTTCCCCCTTTCTGTCCAGGGCTGACAAATCAGACACTTTGGGGGATCCCTCCTGTCTCTCCCGCAGTCCCCAAGATGGAGCATGTATTGACAGAGAAATTCAGCACCGCTAAGTGTCCCCTAGGGCAGGCGCACAGAGGAGGGAAGGCCAGGGGCTGGAGGACGGGCAGGTAACGCCGAGTGGGTGTTGGGCCTGTTAAATCTGGGGGCTGCGGAGCCTGCGATGCCAGCCCAAGGGATTTTGATGAGAGTCACCTGAGATGGCAAGACCTGGTGGCTGAAGAGTCCGGGAGGGGGACTTGCGGGATTGGCAGGCGGGGCCTGCCAACAGGCCCCGAGAAAGGCTGACTCCATTGATCCGGGGCACTAGAGCCTCAGGCAAACAGCCAGCGGGACCCAGGGTGATGCTCGCCCCAGCGAGCGCGGCCGTCCCTGCCCTGTACCAAGGTGCCGCCACTCGGGGCCGGCAGGGTGTGGGGGTTACCACCAACAGATGGAAGGAACTCCTAGAAGATGAACTTCAGAAAGAATGAAAATGACCCCAGGGAGAGATCTGAGGAGCAAGTTCATTAATGATGATGCTAATTTGGGGACGGTTCTTAAAAAGTCAAGATCAAGTTCTGCAGAACAAAAACAAGACTAGAGGGAACAGTTATAATTTAAGGGTTCTGAAGGCTTTATATAGTTTGAAGGGAGAAAGATCTATTGACCAAGTTTAGACTTGGTTAATACACATGTGACAATGTTAAGGGTGGCTCTGGCTGGTGTGGCTCAGTGGCTTGAGCGCCACCCTGCAAACCAAAGGGTCACCGGTTCCATTCCCAGTCAGGGCACAGGCCTGGGTTGCAGGCCAGGTCTCCAGTGAGGGGCATGTGAGAGGCAACCACACATCGATGTTTCTCTCCCTCTCTTTTTCCATCCCTTTCTTTAAAAATAAATAAAATATTGTTTTTAAAAAAGTATTAAAAACTTGGAGAAAAACAACAGAAAGCAGGACATATAGCAAATATTGCTTGTGCGGAAGAGAAACCACTGCTTTTGTTTAAACAGAAAAGTAATTTTCTAGACCATTTTAGGTGACTCAGTGTGATGGCTAATTTTACATGTCAACTTGACTGGGCTAAGGGATGCCCCATAGCTGGTAAAACATCATTTCTGGGTGTGTCTGTGAGCGAGTTTCTGGAAGGGATTAACAGTTGGACCAGCAGGATGAGCAAGGAGAGTTCCCCACCCCAGCGCAGGTAAGCACCGTCCCGTTCGTCCGGAGCCTGAACAGAAAAACATAAAAAGGCAGAGGGAGGAAGAATTTCCTCAGAGCTGGGACATCGCCTTCTGCCCTCAGACATTGTTGCTCCTCAGGCCCCTCTGGCTCTCTTTCAGGCTTTACCTCGAAAAGCAATATGCTGACTTCTAATAGCGTAGATTACTCTGACCCGTTTGTGTATTAAACTGAAGCAGCATATAATTCTATGCCTGGTCTTTACCTCTATCGTGTCTGAGATTCATCCATGTTATTCATTCCATTATATGAATATCCACCATTTATCCATTCTACTGTTGATGGACATTTGGGTTTCCAATATGGGATGGTTATAAATAGCGTTGTTCTGAACATTCTTGGTCATGTCTTTGGCTGAACATATGTACTTTTTTCTGTTGCTAAGCCAACATTTTTCAGCTCTCTTTTTAAACAAAGTTTTATAATGGGCTTTTTTTTTTTTTTTTTTACTTATTTCATTTTTAGAGAGAGGAAGGGAGAGAGAAGAGAGGGAAAGAAACATCGATGTGCAATAGATAGAAAGGTTGCCTCTCACACACCCCCGACTGGGGACCTGGCCCGCAACCCAGACATGTGCCCTGCCCAGGAATCGGACTGGTGACCTTTCACTTTACATGACAACGCCCAACCCACTAAGCCAGGCAGGTCAGGGCTTTTTATTTTTTAATGTTGGATTATACATATGTATGTAATGGGTAAGTTACATTCCTGTATATGCATCTCTAACAGATAAGAATTTGTTTTCCTAACCCCCATGCCAGTACCATACCCAACAAAATTAATTCCTTAATATCATCTAATAACCAGTCTGTTCAAATTTGCCTGATTATCTCAAAAATGATTTTTCCAATTTGAATCAGGATCCAAACAAAGAGTCCATTGTGTTCCTCTCAATGTCTCTCGCACCTTTTTAATCGCTCACCTTTTACATCGTATTAAACCAGCTCATTCGCCTGTAGAATCTCCCTAGTGGGGATGACTAACATATTCCTCTGTCCCCCCCTTTTTTTTAAACTGGTAGGTAAACCTAGGGGCCATTATTCTGGAAAGAATACTTCAGAGGTGATGCTACTACGTCACACCAGGAGGCCTGTTCCGCTTTTAATGATGTCAAAGTTGGTAAGTGGCTTCAGGACCCTATGGCAACATACGCTTGTTGTAAATTTTCCTATCAGCTTTCACCTGAAGGTTTAGTGGCCGCTGATCACCAATTGCCTACATCCTTCATTAATTAGGCATTGCAAAATGGCGGTTTCCTAATTATCTCATTAGTTCTCTATCTTTAGCTGGAATTTTTCTGTAAGGAAAAGCTTACCATTGTCAGCTATTAGGTTACTCTGAAATATAATCAGTACAAGAGAGGCAGGGGAATTCTTGATTTTTTTTTTCTTTTTCTTCCTTTTAAACCAATTTCAGTATAAAGATTCAGTGCCTGGCCCTGGCTGGTGTGGCTCAGTGGATTGAGTGTCAGCCTACGAACCAATGGGCCGCGGGTTCAGTTCCCAATCAGGGCACATGCCTGGGCTGCAGGCCAGGTCCCCAGGAGGGCGCATGAGAGACAACCACATATTGGTGTGTCTCTTTCTTCCTCCCTTCCCCTCTCTCTAAAAATAAGTAAAATCTTTTTTTAAAACCTGGTGCCTGAATCAATCAGAGCCCAGGCAGGAGATTGAAACTCTTACCAGTTACTTTATCCATGAGAATTTTATGTAAAATGTTAAAAAGATCTTTGAGAATTATAAAGGCAAAAGTCAAACACTGAGATATCATTGAGCAACTGGAAGCAGCAGCTACCATCCCATGTGGGAGCCAAGAAGAGGGGTTCTGGAGGCTGGGGAACGTGCCAGAACCGTGCAGACGGTGAGTGGAGGGAGACCCAGGCCAGTGACCAAGGAGGAGACACCCCTGGCTCCAGCAATGGCCACAGCCACCTACGCAGGCCGCTGACCGCAGGGGATAAAGCAGGAGCTCCGCCAGGACTGGGCCAGGGCTGGAGCTGCCAGGCCAGGGACACGACACAGGACTGTCAACAGCAGATGGGCCGCGTAGGCCTTTGGGAGAAATGGGCTGAGTCCCCAGATCCTAAACTCAATCTAGATCCCTTGTGGGCACCTCCCTGAAGGGCTGAGGAAGGGGCCAAGGCACAAACTAAATCAGAATTGGACCTCAAGACGGGGAGACGACAAGCTCAAGAGAGGGCGACTGTGCCATGCAGAAACTGCCGTCAAAAGCAATCAGTTAAGGCAACTAACTGTATTTTGTTCTTTGCTTACATTTTTCATTTTTAGAAAAATCTGAACCATCTGGAATGCATTTGGGTGCAGGTGGGGGCAGGACACTGGTTCTGTCCAACTCCTACGGGAGCCACGCGCCATCTTTCCCTTTCAAGGCTCTGGCAGGTCCCTCAGCAGCGCCCTCAGGCCTCCTTCGCAGAGCTCACCCCAGGACGCTCGCCTTCCCGCGGTGCTGGTCCTGGGACAGGGCGCCTGGGAGGCGCTCGAAGGCACTCCCACCCTGAGGACCCTGCGTGCCCCACACAGACCACGGGGCCCGAGCGTGAGGAGCGTGGGGAGGCTCCTCCACCCCACGAGCCCGGTCCCTGCCCTACCTGGCTGGGCAGTCCCGGGCCCTGGCGGCAGGGACTCGTGTGCCACTGGAGGCCAGGGGCCTGAGTCTCTTCCATTTCTTACCAGAAAGCCTGCCGTACAGGGGACCAGGTGTGACCTTCGGCAATGGCCCAGGGCCTGTGCTACCAGAGCTGGGGTGGTGGGGGACGGGGCCGAGAACATACGCCACTGGCCTGTCTTCAGCTGGCTGGCGGCAGGGTCAGGGAGGGACTGTCGCAGAGGATCCAGGCTTGTACTCTGCCTTCATCTTCAGTTACTCGTGTCATCTGATGACCAGACCGCGCCTAGCAAAGGCCAGACGCTAAGCCACCTCACCTCTGAATTCGAAGTGAATGAATGAATGAATGAATGAATGAGCTCGTTTAATCTTCCTAAGACACCCTGTACAAGTGGCGGAACTAAGGCTCAGAGAGGTTCAGGAACGTGCCTGGGGTCCCACAGCAGACCACTGAGCCTGCCTGAGGATGGTGCTGATGTCCCTCCCAGCACCGCCTGCCTCTCCCAGGTCTAACCCTGGAATCTGCACCATGACCAGGGAGGAAAAAATAAGAAGGGAACTTTATTTAATATTAAAGTCGGGGCGGGGGTCGAAGCGAGGGCGGCCTCACTTGGTGATGGTGTTCCTGCAGAGAGAAGAAGGGCGTGAGGCTGCAGTGCGGCACCAGGCCCCCCGCCGCCCGCCCGGCCCCCTCACCCGGCCCACTCACGCGTTCATGCTCTTGCCACTGCCACTGAGCACGATGTACGGCGTCTTCTGCGCCTTCTGCTTCTCCTGGAGCAAAGCCACGGTGCCCAGGGGCGTGTCGCTGGAGCTCATTTTCTTCAGGAGCTGTGGGGTCACGGCCAGTCAGCGCGAGGAAGCAGCCCCAGCCCACCAGCCAGGCCAGCACCAGGAGGTGTGGAAGCCACCCCACGTCCCCGTGGGCCACCTACCGCCTCCTCATCCAGCTTCTTCATCCGCCGCTCCGTCTTCATCTTGCCTGAGCCTTTCCCATGGAAGCGGTGGGACAGCTGCCGGAAAGCCTGGGGACACAGGGCAGGGACCGCATTAGAGCTGCCTGTGCCCACAGGGCGGGGGAGGAGTGGTGAACCCCCGACCTGCGGCGGTGGGCAGGGGGCCAGAGAAGGGGAGGCGGGCCCCGGAGAGGGATGTGCTGCGCTGGGGCCCATGGGCTCCCGGGCAAGACGCGCTGGGCTGAGGCCAGGCCCGGACACGTGTGGGGGGGCGCGGCGTGGGGGGCCCAGCAAACGCGGGCATATGTGGAGAGCAGTGCAGGTGGAGTGGAGTGGCGGTGGGAGACAGGGAGCGGGGCAGGACAGTCGGGCAAGGGCCACCAGACGGAGCTGGGGGCCTGGGAAAGCACAGGAGTGAGTCCGGGGCCTGGACACTGGCCGCCAGAATGGTGGCCGTGAGGGGAGGTCAAGCCACTGAGGGGGCAGGTGGGCAAAGGGACCGAGGCACCTGTCTGACCCTCCCGCGGGAGGCCAGGCCCGCGAGGAGGCTGTTAAGCCCACCACAGAGGAGGCGGCGGAGGCACCCAGCGTCAGACACTTCTCCAGGGAGCCCGGCCAGTGGCCAACGGTCCCCACAGCGCCCCCGGGCCCCACAGCGCCCCCGGGCCCCGCAGAGGCCCTCACCTCCTTAGGTGTGAGTTTCCGGCCCGTCTCATCCACATACTCGATCTTGACGTCGGGCTTGTAGCCGTCCTTCTCCTTGAAGTCCTGGGTGAAGCCGCGGTACTCCTCCCGCCGGCTGTACTTGTCATCGATGGCCCTGGCCCAAGACAGAAGGGGCTTCAGGGCCAGCCACCGCCCACCCTGCCCGGGGGCTGGGCAGCGCCGGGCCAGCGCCAGCCCCCAGCGCCGCCACACTCACATCTTGTCCTCGATGCAGTACACCGCCGACGGCAGGGACTTGTTGGGCGCCTTCACCCGGGCCACCTTCTGCACTGTCGTCTCCAGCAGCCCTGCGGGGGGGAGGCGGTGAGGCTCCAGGCTGCCCCCCAGGCCCAGATGCAGCCCCAGGGCAGGCCTGGCACCCCCGACTGCACAGAAGGCCCTGCGGGACCCTCACAGCCGGGCTGCGGGGGTAAGGACATCAGCCCTGTTTTGCAGGCAAATGGAAGAGACTTGGAGAAATTAACCCATGTTAAGGGCCACTGACCAGGTAAATGGCGGAGTTGGGACCCTAATGCCAGGGTCTCTGTGCCACAGCCTGGGCTGCTTCGAGTCCCCCTCCCCCTGCCCCATTCTTCCTCAGAGGAGACACTGAGCGCTGGGGGATGAATGGTACTTTGTGGGGGGACATGTGAGCAAAGCCATCAAAACTGGGGTGATGAAGGGCAGGCCATACACTTCTGTCACTGCCCCACAACCAGGAGCAAAAGGAGAGGTCCCCAGCACTGGGAATAGGACACAGCAGAGGGGACCAGAAGAGGCCGTGCCAGCTCCTGGCTGTTGTAGCGCCCGGGCCCCTACAGAGGCTCATGGTGGCCCGGAGCCCCTCACCTTTGTTCTGACACAGGAGCAGCGCGGCCGCCAGCCCTCTGTTCACGATGGGCTCCTCGTCCAGGATGGTGGTGGAGGAGGCAGAGAACTGGGGGGCGGCACACACACAGGGGTGAGCGGGCCACGTGGACTCTCTCTCCCCTTGCCCACCGGTCACCCCCACCGTGCATGACTGCTGCCCTTTCCATGCCCCAGACCCCGTGTGCCCGCATGCCTCGCTGCGTCCTCAGAAGCCTAGGGGACTGAGGCGCTGAGACACTGAGCAGCCTGCCTCCGGCCCAGGCCCCGCTCCCACCAGGCGGTGTGGTGCCCACCCTTCCGCCCTCCCGGCCCCTCCTCGCCCCCCTCCTCACGTCCTGGTGCTGCTTCTCCTCATCCAGGTTCACTGTGCTCCAGCCGATGTTCTCCTCCCCATCAGACTCGGAGCCGCCATTGGCCGAGCGGTCCTCGTCTCGTTCGAAGTCCTGAGGACAGAAGACAGCATCAGCCCCGGCCCATCCCTGAGGAGCACTAGGGCCAACCCTGCTGTCCACAGTCCGCCCCCAGCCCCGAGCAGAGCAGGTCAGCGGTGGTGGGGGGCTGCCTGAATGCCCACCATGAGCTCCTCCTGCTCCTCGCGGTTGCCAGCCAGCCCGTAGGTGGGGATCTCCCCCAGGGTGCGACAGAACTCTGACGTGGCGTTGAACACGATGGTCCCCTTCCGCTCCGGGTCCTCCTCCTCCTCCCAGCCCCTCTGGCGGGACTCCAGCTTCTTCACAATCTCCACCACCTGGAGGAGGGAGCAGCTGTGGGCAAACCCAGAGGGTCCTGGGGCGGTGCCATGGCGACCCAGGAACCCCAGGTCCTCCCTGGGAGCAGCAAGACAAGCCACTCTCACTGCCTGCCGTAGACCTCTGATGGCCTCCATGTCCTCCCTGACCCCAGTCCGCGCTCCACTCTGCATCTGCACCAGCCTCACTAGACTAGGTCGCTCCTCTGCTCCAAAGCCATCAATGGCTCCCTACTGCCCTTTGAATCAACATCCTAAATCCTACATGGCCCTCATGACCAGGCCGCTGCCGACCCTTTTGCAAAGCCCCTCAACTCGCCACCTCAGCCTCCCACACCTTCCCCCAGGACCTGGAGCACACCAGGGCCTCTCTTGCCACTTCTTTGCCACCCACCCCTTCTAGAGCCCCTTCCCTGACGCCTCGGGGTGCTCAGATGCCCTCTGGAGCTTCCACAGGCTCCCAGCACTGAGTGCCCCCGCCACCCATGCCCCCTGCCTTCCCTCCTTTCGCAGATGCCCGGCATGGCTCCTACCTCAGGCCACCCTCCTACCTGGCATGGCTGAGACCCCTCAAAACTCTGCCCCTGACATTATGCCCCCTGACTGCACCCACTCGGTCCCCTCTGCTGCCTCACCGCCATCAGCACACGAGGATTACCTGGGACTGCCCCTCTGAAAAACCTCCTCAGCCCGCAGCCCACTGCTCTGCCCTCGAAAGCAACCTCCTCAGAGAAGTTTCTAGTCACCACATCCATTTCTGCACCCTTTCCTTTCCATTGTATTATATTACATTTATTTCTTTAATGAACGTCATAACAATGCGTATGTCTTTTGAAACAAAAATAACCAAACACCTAGGCAGCTGAGTTGAAAAACAATACCCTTCAGGCTCTCTGTCTGTGGTCATACTTCCCTGGCCTTCTTTACAGTTTCCCCACGTCAAGACTCACCCACAAACAACTGCGTTATTTTGCTAGGCCTTTTCTAAACGGTGTACAGTCTGGACCGTATAATTCTCCTACGATTTTTTTTTTTTTTTAGTATTTTAAAAGTTAATCTTGACGTGAGTGGCTCTAGTTCATTAGCTTTTTGCTACAAGAGCGCCTTCCACAATGAGGACAGACCTCACCCATGCCTCCTGCGCACCCAGGGTGGACTTCTTCCGTCACCACACAGGGTGCAGCTACAGGCTCGTGCCCCACGCGCGCGGGCACATGTCCGGGGCCCAGACTCGGGAGGGGCCGACTGGGCTGTAGGTTACATGCAGGCTCACACGTGTAACCTACTCTGAAAGAATGTGCTGATGTTTCCCCTCTCTGATTAGACTCACATGCCCAGGAAAAGTGTAAGAATTCTGGCAGCGCCGCGTCCTCACACGAGACTTTGCCAGACTCTGGCATTTCTGACAAACAGCGTGGGCGTGCCCTCGGACGCTCTCCTTCCCTCTCCATCAACGCAGCCGGGCCCCACTGGGCGGCCGACCGGCCAGTCATCCTTCCCCTTCCCCGAGCTGCCTACTCGGCTCTTTTGCCCGTTTCTGTTTTGTCAATGTTTGTCCTTTGTATATTCTTGATACCAATCTACCGACGGTCATGCACATGGGCAGCTATCTTCTCCTTTGGACCTGTCTTTTTACATTCTTCCTGATACCTTTTAAAGATAACTTCAGTTCTTAATTTTTAAGTAAAAATGTTAGGGTTTTTTTCCTTCATGGTTTATGTTTTACATTTACATTTACATCTCTAAAAGTCTTTCTTTTGAAATAGGCCAATCACAAGAAGACGCATATTCTATGGTTCCACTTATAGGAGGTCCCTAAGGAGTCAAAGTCACAGACAGAAAGGAGGGCGGTGGTCGCCAGGGCCTGGGGGCGGGGGCCTGGAGTCCCTACCGACTCGCAGCAGTTTGTTTTACAGGATGGAGGGGGCTACGGGGACACACAGCGGTGTTTGCACAACGACGTGATTGTGCTTAATGCCGCTGAACCATGCACTGAAAAGTAACATGATAAATTTTGTTATGTGTATTTTAACACAAAAAAGGAAAAAATCTTTTTCTACCATAAAGTCATAAACATAACTCCCTGTATTTTCCGACACACTCCGTGTCCACTCTTGTTATCTTCAGCCGTCTGTAAGTGAGCTTTGGGTGAGGCGTCGGGTGCGACGCCCTGTCCTGCTGAGGCCCACAGCCACCTGTGCCCGCACCCAGCCTTGAGGGTCCCTACCTTCTCACCGCTGTCTCGCAGCTGCTGTAGCTGCTGCAGCTGCCGCAACCGGCGTCCCTTCTCCAGCTGCTTCTGCAGCTCCAGCTCCGCCTCATCTTCCTCCAGCACCTCCGGGGACCCAGGTGGTGGCCCTCCACCTTCCTCTGGTGGATTCACAGGAGACGCCTGCTCAGGTCGCCCTCTGGGACCCTGGGCTCTCCTCCCTGCCCTTCCCGCCCACCCTCTGCTGGCAGGGGGCCCCTCACCCTCGTCACTGATGTCCATGTTCTCCACTCGAGTGTCATCTGACTGCGGGGGCTGAGGCACAGGCTCCTTCTCCTCCTCCTCCTGGGCCTCCTCGTCTCCCTCGGGCACTCGGCGCCGACCCCGGCCCCGCAGCCTGCAGGAAAGACACCTCTCCAGTGAGCATCGGCCCAGGCCAGCCCACCCCCACACCCACCCCTGGATCCAAGCCCACCTGGAACCAAAGTCCCCATCCTGAGTCTGGTCCCCAAGAGGCAGTAAGTCATCGGCCCGCACTATCACCTCCTTCTCCTTTTTGCGGATCTTCTTCACCCTCCGCTTGGTCTTTTTAAAGGTCACCTGAGGGAGGAGAGGAGAGACATGAAGGGGGAAGCAGGGAGCTCGGCAGCTAACAACCCACAAGGATGAACACTTCCTACACAGAAAAAAGGCATGAGGTATGTGAGCATCGTCTCACCAGCGAAGTGAGGAAAACAGGCACAGCGCTGAAGGGCCTCACCCAGATCTCCCGGCAACTCGGGGAGAGCTGGACTGTCAGCCTCAGTAGTGTGGCCCCGGACTCCTGCTCTTGGCCTCTCAGCCACGTGATCCCCTGAGCCAGCCGCATACAGCTCTAAAATTGCCACTCACCAAATGATCCACCAAATGGCCACCGACCCTGCAGCAGGCCTCAAGAGGCAGCCCCCACTTCAGATGGCGCGCCTCGGACTCACAGTTAACTGGCGCGCCCAAGGCACAGGCTGGCTGCGTGGCAGGGCCGGAACATAAACGCAGGCCCGTCTGGCTACTGGCCCCTGTCCTGCCTACACCCGCCGCCGTCCCAGAACCCCCAAGGCTGCCCATCGCTGCTCCTTTGCAAGGACAGCTCTGCTGGAAGGCGCGGCCTCCCTCCTTAGCTCATCTGATGGGAGGGAGAGACCACAGCCCCAGCGACAACGGTGGGCCGCGGCCATGGGGCTCACCATCTCCTCCGGCGTGAGGTACTCGGAGGCGAGCCGGGGCCCGACCGTGCTCAGGGACTGAGCTTGCAGCCGCAGCTTGGCCCGGATCTCTTCAAGCTCACGTTCCCGAAGGCCATCGGCCACGCCGCCCTGTTCCAAACGGAAGGAGTGCGGCCGCTCGCCCTCCAGCTCCTCGTCGTACTTGGCCAGGATAGAGCGGGGTTTTTGCTGCAAGGCAAGGAGTACAGGTTGGGACCCAGCCTGGCCCATGAAAAGCCACAGAGCCACCAATGCCTCACAGTCCCCACCGCCACGGTGCCCTGCCCAGCCCCCGCGCTGCCCGCCTGCCTGTGCCAAGTCGTCCACACTCTCGTCCTCTGCATAGGGCAGGTAGTCGGGCTTTTTCTTCCGCAACTCCACGTTCTTCTCTGCCCGCTCCTTATCCACCAGGTTCGCGTTCACCAGCACGTCCTCTGCCTCCTGCAGCACGCCTGGGGCGGGACAGAGGCAGTGCCCACTCGCACCTGCCCTCACCTTGGCAGCGCCTGTGCCCCAACCAAGGGACCCCAGTGCGACCCACCTTGGTCCTTGAGAGTAAGGATCATAGTCTCCCCTTCTCTGAAGGAATCAATGGCATGTTCCACGGTGAGGCCCTGCAGGTCCCGGGCACTGTACAGGTTCTAGAAGGAAGGGGGCAGGTCCAGCCGAGTCAGGAGCCCCGACACAGCAGCCCTGGGCATCCCAGCGCCACAGACAGCGGGGTCCCCCCACCCGCCGCCCCGGCACCCTCACCTGCCGCCTCTGCCCGAACTCCTCCTCCACCAGTGTGCTCACTCCAAACTCTTGGTCCATCTCCTCCAGCAGCTTGGCCTACGGGGCAAGGCGGGTGGGGAAGGGCCTATGACCTCAGGGCCACTTAGGATCGCCTGAAGGCATGCATGGCTTTATCAAGTGGAAGCACAAAAAGGGCCAGCCTTGTAGGATAGCCACCGAGAATCCAAGGCAGACGCCACTGACCCCAAACCTCCCACCTCCCTGAGCCCAGCCTCGCCTCCCGCGCAGGTCAGCCTCCTGCCGCACCAGCTACCCAGGCGCCAGAGGCACTGAGCGACGTCCCCGCTGCCCAGCGCTCACCCTCTTCTCTGCCAAGTCCTTCTCCTTCTGCAGCTGCCGGCTCCTCTCAATCCAGGCCGCAGTGTCGTCCAGCCAGGGGTCGTCCTCCCCGAGAGTCTTTATCTTCCTGAAGAGGGAGAGAGTGAGCCCTTGGGAGCCCAGCTCCTCCTCGCTGACCCCGACCGCAGAGCCCCTCGGCAGCCTCCTCGGGCCCTTCCCTTGCCCCCCCGGCTGGGGCCCCCTCACCCCAGCTTTTGGTTCAGGAGGCGCTTTTCTTTGGCAGCCGCCAGCTTTTCTCGTAGCTCCTCTCGCTGCCGCAAGGCCATGGGGTTGATGATGTCGGCTGCCACGGGCTCCTCCTTGGTGCCCGCCTCTGGAAGGGGGGCCCAGACGTGAGGCTATGCCTGCCCATGGCTGGTGGGGAGAGGAGGGAGGCACTCACCCTGCCTCCTTCCAGCTCGGGGCACCGGAAGGGGCCAGGAGAGCGGGGAGGGCCCTTCACTTCCCCACTCCCACTTTATCCCCACACTCCCGTGTCATCCCACGCAGCACGACAGGACCCTCCGTGCCTTCCGAGCCCCCCAAATCGTACTTATAAAAAACACCTCAACACCCACACAGCTCCAATCGGTTTGTGGCAACCGTGCGCATCCCTCAGCCCATCCAAGGCTACCTAACGGCTGGGGTGAGGAGGCAGTGCCGACTGTTCGACCTTAAAGAATAAGCCAAGAGCCACTATGAAAGCAAGGAGCCCCGCGCCTATCAGCGAGGGCGCGCCCAAGCTCTCGGCTAGTGCCGAACCTGTGCTCTAACCCCTTCCCCGACACTCATGCCCTCCCTCATCCCCGCCCTCAGACACATGCTCACCTTTCTTGACGGCATTGACCTCTAAGGGTTTCAGCCCCAGCTTTGCCCGGAGTTTACTGAAGACAAGATATATAAGTGTTAGGAGCTATCAAAAATACAAAAATAAAATGGGGCACAAAATGCATTTCTGGACAGAAAGGGTGAAAACGGGATGGGACTGAGTGGTCCGAAGGGTCCCAGGCACAGGGCCTGACCCAGGCAGTCTGGGCACGGGGAGGGCCCTGGCCCCCCAGGCAGGGAACACGTCAGGGCCTGCGGGGGACCAGCGGAACGCCGCCCTTCCTCCTGGTGCTTCGTGTGCTCTTCCAGAACCCAAGCGGCTGGCTAACAGGGCTCACAAGGCGCTTCCAGGTCCAACCAGGCTGCCTCCGTGTATGAAAGCCTCCCTAAAGCAGCCGCTCCACACCTACCTGTTCCAGAAGGAAAAAGTGGAGACAAAGGAGACAGGACTTACTTGGTCTCCTCGATGCTAAGTGACGAGGCATCTCCTGAGCTGGCCTTGGAACCGGCGGCTGGAACGACACGAAGCACGGCTCAGAGGCTGAACACAAAGCCAAGGAGCCGCATCCTTGCCCAGACGAGGGCCCCCCACTCGTGCCAGGCCTTCCTGAGACGCCAGAACACAGCAGCTTTCTCCCAGCCCAGCGACTCCTTCTAGCTGCGTCCCAGTCTCTGAGAAGCCCGCCTCGCCTACATACCTTCCTTTCTTGACCTGAAAAGCCCAACTTTCTGCATCACTCACTTTGCTACCTCCTTCTTTTTGTGTATTCTGTGTTTTCAGCCACACTGCCCACTCCGGCCTCGCCCTGACTGATGAAGCCCTGGCCAAATGCCAAGATCGCAAGCCACATCCCTCACGAAGTCCTGTTCAATTACACGTCAATCGGGATGAACTGCCCTCCGCCGACCCACAGCACGGTCAGTCATTTCTAGGCCTGTCACTCCCCACAAGGCAGGGACCGCGTTGGCTGTGTGACTGTGTCCTCTGCAATTCGTGTAGTCAAGAACTCATCTATTGGTGCCTGCTCTGTGTTGGATGTTGGGAACACAAGAGATAAAGAAGCATTTCAAACTTCCTCCGTCCACCTCACAAAGACACACGGACAGAAGCTAGACACTTGCAGGTGGAGCTGCCCCCAACCGAGCTGCCACCACACGCTCGTCCTACCTACCCCCCTCCCCACAACCTCCCTCCTCCTCTTTCCTCCCACGTCGACCCTGGCTTCGAACCCTTCCAGACTCTCTCCAAGGACACCAGCTCCTTACTTCTAAATCCAATGAGTTCTTTTCCACTCTGGTACTGCTTGACTGCCCGTGGCGTGTGACACTTTTGATCACTTCCTTCCTCTAATAATACTCTTTTCCCACAGATCCCATGACACCAGATTCAATGGTTTTCCTGCCTTTTTGGTTATTCCACCACCTTTTCTGTAGTGTGTTGCTCCACCTACAACTCAAGTATTAGCATTTCTTGGGCTCTACTTCTGCCCCTGGCTTCACGCGCCCCAGTCTCCCAGGGGACTTCATTTGCCACCTAAATACCCACCTCTCCCAAACTGCTCTCTCCAGCCCAAACCTTGGGTTTCTCCCATGCACTTCAAATGCAACACTCTCCAAATTCCAACTGAATTCATTATCTCGCCCCCCCAAGTCTGCTTCTCTTCCAAACTCAACTTCAGTGGATGACACCACAACCCACCTAGTTGCTCAAGCCGAAATTCCAGTCATCCTCAATCCCTTTTTTCCCTTCCCACCCTCACTCAAGGCGTGTTAATCCCTGTTCCAAACTACCCCTTCAGTCTAGCCGGGTCTCTGCAGCCCACTGCTGTCGCCTTGGTGCAGGCCGCTCCTGGCCTCTGGTCTTCACCACCCTTGACCCAGTTCTCAATGCAGTGATCTTTGCAAAATATGATCAACGCATTCCCCACTTCAAATGCATGGCTCTCAACTCATTCCCCACCTCAAATGCGTGCCTCTCCACTTCCCTCAGGACGAAGTTCAAATTTCTTAGCAGGGTCCTTCGTGTTCGGACCCCTACCTATCTTACAGCCTCATGTCTCTACTATGCGCTCTACAAGATTTACCCACCCAATAACAAGTTTTTTCTTGCTTCTGTACACGCTGGTACCACTTCCTTCCTTCATTCATTCATTCATTCACTCATTACATTTATTTGAGGGCCTGTGAATAGCCAATTGAGGAAAACAAAATCTCTGTCCTCAGAGATTAGTAGTAGGAAACAACCTTTAATCCCAAATACCCTTATGAAAGCCTTTTAGCAAGTGCTGAAGACAGCCAGCGGCCGCCGCCGTACCCCGGGACCCCCGGCCGTCCGCCCCGCCCCCTGCGCTCGCCCCGCCCCTCACCGGCCTCGTAGCCATCGTCGCGCTTCTCCCGCTTCACGCGCCGCTCGGAGGGCTCGGCCTGGCTGCGCTCCCGCCCGTGCGCACTGCTGCGGGCCTCGGTCTCGCGCCGCCCGCTCCCGCGTTCGGTCCCCCGTTCCCGGCTTCGCTTCCGTCGTTCGCCCCCGCTGCTGCCGCCGCCGCCACTCCGGTGCTTGTGTTTTTTGTGCTCCCGGTGTCGCGGCGGCTGCTCGGTGGCGCCCCCGGTCCCGGCTCCTGCCGTCGTCCCGGCAGCCTCCTTCTCCCCGCGATGCTTCTTTGACGACCCCATGGTGGTACGTCCGCCCCGAGCCCGGCCGCCACCGAGCCCCGACGACGCAAAATGGGAAAACTTCCGGGTCGCCCAGCAGCGGCTGTCGTGTTGCCGGAAACTAAGACCGGCTGCTTCCGTCGTTCGGTTCGGAGCCTGCCCCAGAGGTTCATGGGAAGACCGGCATTGGAGCCCGAATGCTGGATCGCAGCTGCCGCCGGCCGGGTGGAGGTCTTTGAGTCGGTGGTCCAACTGAGCGTGCACTCGTCCAGGTGCACGGACTTGTTTGAGATCTAGGTCCCAGAGCTATGAGGACCTAGAGGATATCCGAGCCAGCGTCCCCGGAGCTGGAGGCGCCTGCCAGGCCTCCCTGCGCGTGCACCCCAGCCACGGGATGCTCACTGTCTCACGGACTTTCCGTGGACCGCTCCCGCCACTCCAATGAGGCGTCCTCCTAATGAACTCCCTAGGATCGTGCCTGCTGCGGGTGCTGGACGATCCAGCATGCTCTCCGCGAGACCCCGAGCTCCACAGCCCGGCCTGAGTTTCTGTAATCAGCATTGTCAGTAAATGCTGCCTTCCCACGTTCTCTGGATTTTTAAAAATATTTATTGATTTTAGAGAGAAAGAAACACCAATTTGTTGTTCCACTTAGTTATGCATCCATTGGTTGATCCTTGTATATCTAACCCTCAACTTCGGCTATGGGGCTGAAGCTCTAACCAACTGAGGTACCCAGCCAGGGCCGATTGGGTTCTTTAACCTGCTCTCAGTAAACTGCTAAGAAGCTCCAGAAGAGCTGTGAGCCTGTGAACCCCCTGAAATTGGGTGCAAAATTTGGTGCAACTGTGTGTGTGAGGGTTTTTTTTTTCTCCCCCTTGAGTGGGGCTAGGAGTTGAAGTTTAAAGTTAAAACTCCAGTTCACACAATCCCTCCTGACTCCCCACCCCCACCCCTAGTTGCTGCATGGCAGCCCCTGTGCATTCATCTGCTATGCTGTGATGTGTGTGCCCCTTTAAAGGTCTGCCCCTCTCCCCCAACTGACTGGGAGTTCTCAAAGGCAGAGGCCATCCTGCCCTGTTCACTCTTGAATTTCTAGGACCCAGCATATGTGCTGGAGACTGGGGGGTGGGGGTGGAGGGTCACAGCTGTTGCTCTGTGAGATGCCCCACCCCTCAGCAGCAGACACAAGGTGGCGTGTGCTGGGCACTGGTGGCTGGAACAGCCATAGCCCCTGGGGAATGGGGGAACAAGCTAAACCTGCTGCCTACCCACCCACCACTTCCTACTCCCAACCCATGGCCTCTTCCCACCACCACCAGAAATCCCACACTGTATTTTCCACAAAGCTTTAATTTTTATCGAAGGGACTGGGTTCCCAGTCTGGTCTTGGGGTGGACTGCCTCTCAGGCTGGCTGCCGATGGGTTCTTCCCTCGGGGGGCTCTGAGAAGAGTGCTCCACTCTCTCCCCTGTTGACCTGTGGCTCCTTAAAGAAGAGGACAAGGAGAGAAGCCACTGGGCTCTGCAGCTCCCCAACCCCACGCCCAAGGACACCTGGGCTATCGGAGGGGAAAGGCCATTGTCATTGATGATACAGGTTTAAATCTGGCTCTTTAGCTGTGGGGCCCTGAGGAAGTGATTTTCTGTCTTTGAACCTCAGTTTCCTTTTTGTGAATTAGGCCTTATAATCCCTGCTCTGCAACAGGCTGCTCTAAAGCGTAAGGGACACTATGCATGGGGTGACTGGCATGGAACCCGTCCATGATGGAGGCTTGATGTGTGACCACTCACGTGGCCGAAGAGTCCCAGACTGGCTCTGCTGTGTATTCATTCCCGTGTTGTTGGGAAAGCGCCTGGCCCTCAGGCCTTGAGTTTCTTCATGGAGAAGTGAGGGGATAACCCTAGCCCCACCTTCCTCGGGTGACAGAGAGGACAGAGCCTGGGGATGGACCTGCTGACTGCTAGAGTGGCAGTCATCCAGGTCATGGAGCGGGGATGCAGGATGGACAGGGCAGGACCGAAGCTTAGATCCAGGGCTGCCCACCGAGTTCCCTCAGCCTTTCCCCAGACTTCAGCCCAAGGTGAAGGGGGACGGAGGGACGGCGGGAGGAGATCCTGAAGGGCCCAGAGGGCCGGCCGTGGCGGTGCTTCTCCTGCCGTGGGGCAGAGCCCATGTCTTGGCCAGCTAGACGGCCTCACCTGGGCTTCCTGGAGGCGCCCTGCGTGTCCCCCTTGCTTGCCTCAGCCAGCAGCTGTTTCTCATCCAGTCCCAGTGCCGACAGCACCTGGGAGAAACGCCGGGTCACTGTGAGCCGGGCGTTGGCCTGAGGAGACACAGGGGTGTCCCACTCTGCACCAGGGCCACCGAGGACAAGTGGGGCTCTGATTACTGAGGGGGGGCAGGGCTTCCCGACGGGCAGCAGCCTGGGGTCCCATCTAAGGGGGCCCACTCCCACCTTGGCCCCCCCTCCACTGGGCCGGTGAGAAGCTGTGTTCGCGGGAGACCACCTGCATGCCCAGGGCCAGCCCTCACCTGCATGGCCTGCTGGAACAGGTAGGGCCGGGCCTGCACCCTGTGCTGGATGCCCTGCAGCTCGGCCTGGTACTCAGCAAAGCGCTCTCGCTCCTGGCGCCTGCGGGGAGACGGCCCTCTGGGCAGCTAACCGCGAACACAGCCCATCCCCACTCGTGAGCCACTCATCCTCACTGAGGGCTCCGTGTCCTCCCGCCCTTACCTTTACAAAGCCATTTCATTCCTGTCCTCGCCCTGGATTCCTCCTGAGGCCACTGCGGTAGGTATTAGTCTTTGCCCCATTGTACTAGCACTCCCCTAAGGCTCAGGAGAGTTGAGGGCCTTGGCCAAGGTTGTGCAGCTGGGGCGTGAAAGACTAACCCCGAGCTGAAGTGTCCAGGCTGTGCAGCCAGGGCTCGGCTTCCTCCCAGCCACCCTGAAGGGAGAGGGACCCGCGCTGGCGTCTGAGCAACGGGGCACTGCTCGCGCAGCCTCTCCTGCAACCAGTCCACGCCCTGCACCCTCTCACACTGCGCCTGTGAGGAGGAAGCTGTGGCTCTTGGCTGTGGCTTTGGGCAAAGCCCTTCCCTGGGCTCTGGGCTGTTTTCTTCTCGGTGCTCTAGCAGGGATGGGACAAGCTTGCCAGCATTCGCTGTGGTTCTTATAAGCAGACAGCTTAGGAAATGGGACATGGGAACTGAACAATGTGTTGCAAATAAAAGAACACATCCCGAAAGATTCCCACTGCAGAAGCACAAACCCACTTACAAAATCCAGTTTGTGCACTTATCAGAAATGTGTCTGCTCAGCAGGCTGAGCCTCTTGGCAGCAGGAGGGGCCCTCTGGCCGCATCACACACAGGTCTGGGCATTGGTCTGAGAGGCACATAAGAGAGGCCACGGGGTGTGGTGGCAGATAGTGCGGGAGGGGAGAAGAGGCTGACTCTTGCTGGGATCTCCAGCAAGGTCACTGAGCCCTGTAGAAAACACTGCCTTGCTGGGCCCAGACCCTTGGCTATGAGCCAGAGAGGGAATCTTCCTTCATTCCAGAAAAAGACAAGAGACTTGATCCCTGGCTGATGTGGCTCAGTGGATTGAATGCTGACCTCCCAACCAAAAGGTCGGCAGTTCGAGTCCCTGTAAGGGCACCTGTCTGGGATGTGCGCCAGGTCCCCAGTAGGGGGCATGAGAAAGGCAACCACACATTGATGTTTCTCTCATTTTCTTCCTCCCTCCCTTCCCTTCTCTCTAAAAATAAATTTGAAGTGTTTTGAAAAAATGTTGTGTTAAAATATCCTGATTACTCTTGTGACTCTCCCTTCACCTAATTCAGTTTGTTACCACTAAAAGCCAGTGAGTAAACCTCTGGCTTGTGTGGCTCAGTGGACTGAGTGCCGGCCTGCAAACCAAAAGGTCACCAGTTCAATTCCCAATCAAGGCACATGGCTGGGTTGTGGGCCAGGTCCCCACTAGGGAGCACGCAAGAGGCAACCACACATTGATGTTTCTCTTGCTCTCTTCCTCCCTCCCTTCTCCTCTCTCTAAAAATTAATAAAATCTTAAAAGAAAAAGAGATAGACTTGAAAGCCCATGGCCAGAAACAGAAGTTCCTGCCACAAGGAGTCTTTGTCACTGAAGAGGGAATTTACAACAGTTACAAGGGGTGGGGGGCTGGGAAACATGAGCTGCCATTCAGTCTTCGTCTTGCCTGCGATGTCATGTACATTTTCCTGCCTGATCCCTTAGGTTATTTCTGTTAGGATTCAGAGAGAGCACGTGCCCGAGGGAGAAAGGAAACAGTGCCAGTGGGTGTCAGCCCTGTCCCCTGTCATCATTCCTGATCACAAGCAAGTCACATCACCTCCCCACTGCAGGGCGGCTCTTCGTGCCCTCCCTCCTGGGCAGGGCAGAATCGCCATTCAGCTCCTGCAGAGGAAAGTCACAGGCTGGAGGGCTGAGAGGCCCCGCGGGAAATGCCTGCTCCCCAGCAGAAAATGAAAGCTCCCCAGCTTGAACTCATCTCACGACATCTGCCCCTTGCAGTTTGTAACCGTCTGCTTCCTGCCTTAGTGAAAAGCAATGAACTTGAGATCTGGAAAGAAGGCACCTCCCAGGAGGAGCGGGGATGAGGCTTGGAAAGGGCTGCCCACGTCCACGGTACGTATCCCACGTCGCTGGCATCAGCGATCAGAGTGCTATCTGGTCCCCTTGGCCGGGCTTTCGGGGAGGACCCTGGCGCCTTCCATCTGAGGACCGGGGGGCATCGAGCCCGCCCAGGCAGCGGGGCCGGGAGGCTGACCGGCTGCCCGGGTTGGAATCCCAGCTTCGCAGCTCACTTGCCACCTTTGGCAGATTATTTAAGTTCTCTGAGCCTCCCTTTCCTCACCTGTAGAATCATGGGAATGGTGATAATACCTCATGCGCCAGTTATGAGTCTAAAAGAGATTTGCCTTTAAATATGCATTTGTGGGTTGTTTTTTTTTAAATAGTCAACATATAGGAAGAGACTAAAACAGATGACTCCGCCTGACAACAATGCCGTCTTCAGGAGTGGGATTATAGGTACAGTTCGCCTGCTACATCAGCTCTTTTGGGGACATGTGAATTTTTACAGTAAGTGTGCCTGGCCTTGGAAATCAGAAGAACAAGATTTGAGAGTGATACAGCGTGTAGAACATTTAACCTGAGCGTCTGACAGCTTCACAGATCGTTATTCGCTGGGTGGCGCTGGCCCAGCCCCTTCTGAGCCTCATTGGCTGTATCTACAAAGCGCAGCAAAGTGGTCGGAGGATGGCAGCGGAGGCTCAGCCCTGAGGGAAGGTGAGGACCGGTCTCCCGGGACCTCCTGCCTGTCCCCGCCAGGCCCTCCGCAGCCCGGCTTCCTACCTCAGCTCCTCCAGTTTGCGCTGGGAGGCCCCTGGCCCCCGACTCCCTCTGGGTGCGTAGGCGGCCAGGCAGCGGGCCACCTGCTGCTGCACCCGCTGCTCCCGGGCCCGCCGCAGCTCAGCCTGCTGCCGCTCCTGCCGCCGCTGCTGCTCCCAGGTCTGCAGCAGGCTCCTTGGGCGGGCGAGGGAAGAAGGGGAATGGGAGAAGTGAGTGGGGACCAGGGGCCTCACAGGGGGCCAGGGACCAGGCAGGGGAGTATGGGGCTAGTTTATGCGTTTTGGCTTGAGGGACAGGCAGGTGGATGAATGGATAGGGAAAAAAGAAGCAGAATGGTGATGTGATCAATGGGTGGATGAAGGGGGTGCATGAAGGGTGTGGATGGCTGAATAGACAGACAACGCCTAGATCAGCCTGGAACGTTCTTCCCTCAGATCTCATGGCCAGTTCCTTCTCATCAATCAGGCCTTTGCTCGCATGTCAGGGAAAGAGAGGCTCCCTGACCAGCCCATCTCCCCCTCAGGTGTTGTCCTGCTCTAGCTACACGCTCTGTTCATTTACTAATTATCCTTCTGCCCAAGTCGAACGTACGCCTCATGAGAGCAGAGTTTCTTATCTGTCCTGATACATTCACCACCAATGTATCCCCGGCAGCCAGAACAGAGCCTGGCCTGGACAGAAGCTCAATGTTGGTGAGTTCATGCAAAACTGAGTCATGGACAGATAGACAAGGGGGTAGATGCAGTTATTCAATTAGTATATGTTTATTGAGCACCTACTATGTGCCAGGTGCTGTGTAGGGCACCAGAGAGGCTGTGGTCGATAAGACTCGGCACCTGCCCTGTGCGCAGGGATGGACAGACTCGGCTCTGCACAGACTCGGCTCTGCGCAGGGATGGACAGACAGCCCGGCACCCCCGCAGTGTGGGGCGGCGAGAGCGGTGACGGAGGTGAGCACGGAGGGGAACTGGCGGGCCCTGACTTGAGGGGTGAGAGGTGCACCTGAGCGAGCGGGGCAGCGGGGGAGAGGGCCGGTCCCAGGAGAGGAGAGAGGGAGAGCATGACCGTCCAGCCTCTTTGACCAGCGGGTGTGGGAGGCAGGAGCCTCGTGACTGAGGGAGGTGGGCTTTGTCCCAAGGGCACAGGGATGCAGAGAAGGATTTCAAGCAGGAGATGACAGGGTAAGAATTGGGGGTGCTATCAGGATGCTGAGCGGATTCTCACCTGCTACTTCTAACCGGTCACTGAGGCCCACTGAGCCAGCCTCCAAATGGACACCCCTCTGTCCACTCCTCGGGCCACCCGGTTCAGGCCCAGTCATCCCTCCCCTAGACAATGCCAACAGCTGTGCACCCGCGTCCTCTTCACCCTCTGCTCCCACTGTCTCCTGCGCAAGCCCCACGTAGAGCAACCATCTAACTCTGCTGCTATTACTGTTGCTTTGCCAGCAGACCTGGAACTTCTTAGGTCTAGATGAAGTCTGTTTGTAATCTTTATATCCTGAGGACACATGAGTATATACTCAATATATGTTGTATTAGTCACTTAGTTAATAAATTATGGGTGGATAGAAGATGGGAAGAGAATGAAAAGTTGTTTATGTCAATAGACAGTTGGCCAAGCAGGCAGGCAGGCGGATGGATGGATGGATGGATGGATGGATGGAAGATGGTGAATAGATAAAGGGAGGAATGGATGAGAGGATGAGGGACTCAGTGTCCCGTGGAGAACTGGCTCCTTCTCTACTCTCTGCCCTTGGCTCCCACCCTCCTCCTCCTTCCACCTTACCTGGTGGCCTCCTGGCGTTTGTGGAAGGTACGATTAGGGAAGTTGACAAACAGGAGGGTCTCATCATCTCCCAAGGCCTGGGCCTTCCCACTCCTGTTGGAGACCTGGACAGCAGCCCGCAAAGCCTTCCAGGGGTGCTTCCTGGGGCCTATCCCCAGCGGGAGGAGTTAGGGACTCCCCTCTCCCTGGCCCCCTGGGCAATCCCGCCCAGCCTCTGCAGCACCCCAGCCCTGCCTGGGCCCAGGTCTCTGCTCCCCAGCCTCGCTCCCTGCTGTGCAACTTCCTAGGGCGCCCAGGCCTGGAGCCCCACGCTCACCACAGTCCAAGTCTTGCTGTAGCTGCCGCTGCAACTTTTCCAGGTCCCATGCCCCCTCCAGCTTCGGGGCCCTTGCCCTCCTCCTCTGCGGTCCTTGGGGGTTGTTGGTGCTGGGGTTGCTCCTTTGGCATTGCGGTTCGCCCTCCTCGGAGGCCTCCTCGCAGGAATTCCGCCCCTTTCTCCGAGCCCCCGCCCTCCTTCTGTGGGGTGCCCTGTGTTCCTCCTCCTCACCCTCCTCTGTCGCCTCTGCAAACCATTTCTCCTTTGAGATCGACCCTCTCCTGGTGAGCTGAGGCAGTTCCCCAGGGCTCAGATCCCTCTCAGCCTCCTCAGTGCTGGGGGCTTCCAGCTCAGCAGCCTCCTCGGACTCTGATCCGGGTCCCGGCCTCCTCTCAGGTGACTGGAGGCCGCACTCACTGGGCAGCTCCAGCTCTTGGTCCTCCCCTTGGCCGGAAGGGATGGAGATGCAGCTCCAGGCCCTTGACTGCTGACTCCTCTGCAGGTTTCGTGTCTTCATCTTCCAGCATAAGCCATGAGGCTCTAAGGGCTTGGACTTACGGCTGGGCTTGTGCTTGGAGACTGCAGGGGTCAAGGGCAGGGCGTGCTGGCCAGGGGCCAAGGGGAAGCCAGGCTGGAGTGGAGCCCAGCCTTCTGTGGCAAAGCTCTCCCAGGCCCACTGGAAAGGGAAGGAGGGTTTCCGAGGAGAAGGAGAGAGACTGAGGAGGGAGAGGGCAGAGGGCAAAGGGCAGGGTCAGCGTGCCTGCACCCAGCACGGCCTGACACCCAGCACCCTCCCGGCCCGCCCCACACTGCTCACTCCTCAGCCTCAGCAGAACCATGTCCTTTCTTGTTCTGGCCCCTGGACGTCTGGCCCTCCTTCGCCGTCCGCCCTGTGCTCTGAGCTCTCTGCCGCTGGTGCCGAATTACACCGTCACCGCTCCCAGGGCTCCTCTGGGTGAAGACAGGAGAGGAAGCCCAGCTCCTAGACCGCCTCACACCTCCCCAGGGGGCCCCCGCTCCTCTGCACCTTGGCTGGCCCGAAAGCGGACGGCTAGCCACCTCCATTCTTAATATTCACATAGTGATGGCCCCGGGCGTTCGCTCGTTAACTCATTCCAGCTTCCCAAGGACCCTGCGAGGTGGGCGCCCGCCATCACACCCGTCCTGCGGACGAGAACGCCGAGGTTCCGGGAGGTAATGTCATCGGACTAAGGCCACACAGCCAGTAAGTGGAGCCAGGACCTGGACACATGGAGTCTGTCCTCAGAGCCCAGATTTGTCACCCTTGCCCTGTGCTGCCTCTGGGCCCCGGACAGCTCTTCTGAACGCCCCACGGGGCCCTGGACTTGTTAAGCCAAAGTGGAAGAAACTCATTCTCTTTCCCCCGACACTCCTCCCCCTGCAGTGTTTCCTAATCACGCCGCCAGAAGCCTGGGAGTCGCCGTCTGGCCTCGCCTGGTCTTCACCGCAGCCTCACAGGCCTCCCCGTGGTCCCTTCCCCCTCGAGCCTCCCTGACTCTCACCTGGGCCTCAGCTCCGGTCTCACAGCTTCTCAAGGGCCTCCCTCAGCCCTGGTCACCCCTGAGCCCAGAGAGCCAGCCTGCCTCTTGGAAGGTTGGCAGTGGGCAGTTGGAAGTCCCCCGACACGGCCTCCCTCACCTGCTCGGCCTGCGGGATGCTTGACAGAAGCTTGAGCAGGCCCGTGGCCTTCCCTGGAGCCTGGAGCCGCGGGTCCTGCCCTGGTCGCCCCGACGTGGTCCTGACCAACTGTTGGTGGGTGTTTAGCATATTGGTGTCCTGCCCCATCCCCCATCCTCATCTGCCAGCCGTGGAACTGTCCTTTCCACCATCTCTATGGCAACCAGTCCTCAGCCAGCCTCCAGGGCCCTGGCAAACAGCAGGCCAGGAAGGGTCTGCCAGGGTACGTGAGACCAACTTCCTTCCAGGTGGGAGAGTTCAGCAGGATGCTGAGGGATAGTCCAAACCTGGCAGTTCGGAAACCCAGGGCCAAGTCCTGCCTCTGCTCCTGCTTCTCCAGGCCTCCACGTTGACCTGGTATGAGTCCCCTGTCTCTGCTTGGCCTGTGTTCCCTTGTAAAATGGACCCTCAGACCCTATGAAGATGGCCAAGCGGCACCCGAGGCGGGCCCTCTCCCTCTGCCTGCCTCCGGGGCGGCCCCCAGCCCTGGCGGAGGCCCCGTGGGAGCCAGATTGAATTCTCACAAGGTCCTGCTCCAACCACCTGCCCTCCCAGGCCCTGACAGGGCAGGAAAGGCCAGGAAGCTGAATGCCATGTCCAGGAGCGAGGTCACAGGCAAACTGAAGCCCGCAGAAAGCTCTGCAGAGGGTGAGAGCATTGAAATCTTCTCAGACTTCTAGCAGTGCCGAAAAGCCTTGCTATGGTAAATCCCCGTGGGATGCCTGGTGCCGACCACTATCACCCGCGGCCTAGGGACGTGGTACCAACCCGAGGCCCTGGAGTGGCCTCTCACCAGCTCTGTGGCCTTGGACGAGCCTCTTCTCTTCTCTGCCAAACTAGTCCATTCCTTAGGTTTGTTGCAAGGATTGAATGAAATCACAAAGGCAAAGCACTCAGTAAATGTCTGTTTTTACTGCTGTAATAATAACTAACCCGTTACCGAGAGTCAGTGGAACATAGCGGTTAAGAGTGCACGGGAAGCGCTGGGGTTCAGGTCCCAGCTCCTCCACTTGCCGCTTGCTCAGAGCCCCCGTGCCTTCGCGAGCGGTGTGGGGCTGGTGATGACCGCATCTACCGCCTAGGGCCGTGGGGAGGATTAAATCCGTTCACACATACAGACACACACAGAGCACTTCCATAGCCCGTAGCTGCCATGCGAGAGTCGGCCATTAGCCAGCAGCGCGGCCCCAGCAAGACAGGCGATGGAAGTAAACCCAAGCAGACGCCCTAGAGGCATGTTTTTCTCAGCCGTCTGTTCCTGTGGACACTCATCTGCTCAGACCCATCCCAGTAACAAGTCTCACCTCTGCAATGAGCCCAACCAACCTAATGGCCTAAATAACACTGCAGGTGAAGAAGATCTCTTGTCACTCAACACAGGTCAACTCGGTGCTTTCCGGGCGGGCTGTCATCCCACCCTCCCCTCCACCTCCTCTGCTGAATGTCACTCACAGGACCCCAGGCGGAAGGCACAGGTGTTTCATTTTCAGAGAACAAGTCCCCTGCAGAGCCCGATCCAAATGATTTTTTTTTTTTAACAAACTCTGGGCCACTTCCTTCCTTGCCAGGGGACAGCTCTGGGCTTCTCAGGTCAACATTTTCATAAGGTGCTTTCTGACCCCTTCTCTAGCCACACTCACTCTTCAAGAGCGCTCACCCAGTCAGTGGGACAGCCATAAAAGCCATCTGCAGCCCCCCCAACTACCCCCGGGTTTTCATACCTCAGCCCTGACCCTTCCCACGTAGCCCAGACTCATATCCAAAGGCAGCAGCCTCATAGATCTTGTGTACTACGTGGCTCTTGATTGCAGCAGTTTCTCTTGTGCTTGATTTAATATCATGTTGTTTTGTACAGTAACGTGCTGTACAGGCTGGGAGCCCAGGAGCGGTGGGCTCTACCACACAGCCCCGGCGTGCAGTAGGCTAGACCACCTAGGTTAGTGTAAGCGCCTCTGTGATGTTCCAACAACGATGAAATCGCCTCCTGAAGCATTCCTTAGAACTTACCTCCATTGTTAAGTGACGTACGACTGTATATAATTTCTCAGTAAAAATGAGACCATACTCTTCCTGCCAAATAGTATGTTTTGCTCAGCTTTCCCTGTCTGTACATGCACAGCCACCTTCACTGAGTGTTACAGTCTGGCCGACAATGTACCAATCCCGTCCCCTGCTGTCAAACATGCACACAGCTTCCGCCGGCTTCCCTACTACAGACATTGCAGCAGTGACAGCCTTGTAAATGAACCGCTGCACCGTGGGCACTTTTGAAACGTACGTTCCTATAAGCAAACTTGCTGGCTCTAAGCAATATACCTTTTGATCATGCCCAGTCACTTCCCCCAGATGCTCCATCAGTGGAGGTTTCCATCCATAGTGTTTATACCCTCACCTTTTTTCATCTGATAGATGAAAAAGCCATGATCTCATTGTTGCTATAACTTGCATTCCCTTCATTATTTGTGAGCTTTGCATACTTTTCATATCTTTCTGGGCTGCTTGAGCCTCCTCTGTGAATTGCCAGTTCCTGTACTTTGCACACCTCTCTTTCGGTCCTTGGGAGCAGAGAGCTGAGTTTATTGTTATTCTGTATTGCACAGTGCGCACGAATAGCCACTGGATACAGGGCCGCTCTCATTTTGGCTTAGGTTTTGCCTCCTGCAGCTTTGATCCCCATCCCCATCCCGCTTAAATATGACCTGCCTCTTGTCAAATATCTAATATCACATTTGTGCATTTGTGGTTTCAGTTTATATACACGGTCTTATGCTTTGAATCTCATTTTTGTTTCTTACTCTTCTCTTTGAACACTGTGTTTTCAAAAGCTACCTGCTGATTCCGTTGCCCAGTGCTCCGCCGTCTGCCCCCATTACCCTTTACTAATCCATTCTCCTGAGGGCGGATGCCAGGGCTGCCCCCACTGCCGTTTCCACAGAGGACACTGTAGTCAACGCCCTTGAAAATGCCTCTTGGCTCATCTGCACGAGGGTCTCTGTGGCTCATTTACCAAAGACTGAGTGGGGGGTCTTGAAGTGAATGCATGACATTTCAGATCGCTCAGGGGAGAAGCTGTTTACCCTTCACATGCCGAAAGGGTTGACCAGGGAGCTGTGTCCGCCCGCACCTTCACTGAAGGTCCATATGATTCACCGAACACATATTTAGTTGCCTGGTGGTTATGAAATGAAATCTTACTGTAATTTTTGTAAAGATTTTACTTATTTATTTTTCGAGAGACGGCAAGGGAGGGAGAAAGAGAGGGAGAGAAACATCGACGTGAGAGAGACACATCGCCTGGTTGCCTCTTGCACTGGGGACCGAACCCGCAACCCAGGCCTGTGCCCGGACCGGGAATCGAACCAGCAACCTTTCACTTTGTGGGACAACACTCAACCTATTGAGCCACACCCATCAGGGCATATCTCACTGTAGTGATTACTCCTTTGAGCGCATCTTGATTAATTTTTTTGCCATTTGGGCCAATTCTTAGGTGAGTTTTGTTTACATTCTTGCCCATTTCTCTGTTGCATTTCTTGTCTTTCCCTTACTGACTCGCAATTCTTTATTCACTAGATTGCAACCACCTGTCTGTCAACATTATCTCTGAGGACATTTGTGGAACAGAAATCCTTAGTATTGACATAGATTTGTAAATTTTTTAAAAAATCTTATTTATTTACTTTTACAGAGAGGGGAAGGGAGGGAGAAAGAGAGGGGGAGAAACATCAATGTGTGTTTGCCTCCTGAGGGCTCCCTACTGGGAACCTGGCCTGCAACCCAAGTATGTGCCCTGCCCTGACTGAGAATCAAACTGGCAGCCTTTTGGTTCTCAGGCCAGCACTCTATCCACTGAGCCACACCAGCCAGGGCAGATCTGTAAGTGTTTTGGATAGGGATTTGTATTTTGGATGTCTAAAGTCCTTCCCCTACCCCTGGGTGGGCATTCTATCATTTTTTCTATGAGAGTATTAACATCTGTGTTCAGAGTGAGATGCTTTGTCGTTTCCTTTCCTTTTCTGTTGCTGTCCTTATCTGGTCTGAGTCATATGAGGAACTGAGCAGCTTCCTCTCATTCCCTGTCTCCTGGAACAACTTCTATAAGATAATGACCATCTGTCCCTTGAAAGCCTAGTGGCCCACGCCTGCACAAATGTTCCCATCAGGGCTCTTTCACGTTGGAGTCTTAAATTATAATTTTACTTATTGGTATTGACCTGTTAAAGTTTTTTTATATTTTTCTGCCAATTTTGGCCTTTCATATTTTTCTGGGAAGACATTCATTTTGATAAAGTTTATATATTTACTAACAATTATTTATTTGTATTTACATACAATTATTTCTCATATTCTTTGATATTTTGATATTTTAAACTTCTGTGGGATCTCCAGGGTCAGATCATGTGGGACTCGGAGGCCAGGGAAAGGACTCCAGATTCGTCATTGTAAGCATGGTGGAAAGCGCGACAGGACATGGGGAATCGCAACTAGGTCAGTATAAAGGGGAAAGGAAGCTGCAAACTAAGTTGCCGCTGGCCGAGGTCCAAATTTTAAAGAAAATAGAAAGAAATCATGTCACTCTTGAAATCCCTGGATCACCTCAAGAGTATAAAAGGAAGGAGGGTGGATTCGGAAAGGGGAATTTTGTGATGAGGTTAATTTGGAACAAGCGGATATCACCCCGAGTTCCAGCACTCTCTTCAGGGGACGGGCTGGCGGGCTGCCTTCGAGTCCCAAATCCGGGGAGAAGTGCTTCCAGGAGGCCACGTGCAGAGCTCGAGGCGGGGCTTCCCGGAGTCATGGCAGCCCAGGGGTGAGCGGCCCAGGAGACCTCCAGGAAAGGCTGCAGCACCATGCGGGGAGCTGGCCCGCAGCGGGGCAGCAGTGGTCTTGCCCAGGGGCTCCTGTTATCGGGCGGGTGGGGTGGGGGATCCAAACGGGGTGGGTCTGTGTGTGCCAGTCCAAAGAAAGGCAGAACCAGCCGGGAGGGAGGCCCTGCCCGCTTCCCAGGAGCTGCAGTTAAGGGGGTGGCCATAACGGAGCCATCACAGCTCCCACAGGGTGGGAGCCTGCCTTGAAGTGATGCCGCCCAGAAAGCAAGAGGCCGTCTT